TCATCACAATCTCTGAGTTTCACAGGACTGCTGTAACATCAAATGCTCGCCTCCTTCAGAATTACATCTGCGAAATTATTTCAGTAGCTGGCGCCGTAATTTTTTGTTTGAATTTTAATAAAAGCCAAGAAAAAGAAAAGCTTAAGCGCTGCTTGTGTAAACCTCTCTGAAGATGAGAGGACTGTTTCATCCTGAAACCATTGTGTGTGTGTGTGTGTGTGTCTCCTCTGCAGATATGTACAGTACAATATCTACATGCTAAGATGAAAGAGATGAAAGAGCTGCTGTTACATGCTAGGGTTATGTCATGATGGTACATAATGGTCTTTGCATGAGAGCGAGGGGGGAAAGGACACACAGATGAGACTGATGGGTTAAAACAGGAGGAGTGAGTGAGACGAGGAGTCGAGGGGAAAGGAAGAGAGGAAAGAGAGAAAGACAGACACAGAGAGAAACATGGCTGTCAGCATGTTTCCTGCTATACTGGAGATTAAACCGCTTTCAGCACGTCAGCATACACTTAGACTAACAAGTCTCTCTCTTTCACACGCGCCAGAGATGTCCTCAAATATCTCCTTGACACTGGGGCTCATCGACAGCAGGAGCTCAGCTGATAAGGTGGAAGAAAAGGAGGCCACATATCTCTGCCAGCACACACGCACAGATACAAACATTCTTGATACATGCATCACCAACGCAAACACACACATCCATCAATGTGTATCTGCAGGTCAACTGAGAGGCTGCGACCTCCTGATTTCAGATTCAAGGCAGAGTCCTTCTTCCTTTCTCTCTTTCAGGAATCAGTGGAGGAGTGCCAGGTTAGTGGTGAAGGTCCAACTCTGTTTGTGTTTGTATGTGTTTGCTGTTCTGATGCTGGATGCTTACTGCTCTCAACAGATAATTCATCTCTTTGGAACCACTTGTTTAACTCCGGTGGTGCAATGCTGGCTCGCAACTAAAACGGTTGTTATGGTTGGCTACTAATAATTAATAATTAATAATTAATAATAAAACTTAAAAAATAAAAGACTCTCATTAAGAGTTTATGTGCATCTGCAACCTGATTATCAGCGTTGATCTTTCCCACCTTTTATTTTTACCAAATATGAAGAAAACTGTGAAGACATTAAAGGTGGATGGATTGCTATGAAATGTTCCTGAGAGGATCAATTACAAGATCCCACTGACGTTTTTGTCCAGCACCCCGTTCCAGATCAAATTTTTTATTTTATTTTTATAAGCCTTAACCGTACTTGTGCTAGTTAGCGAATGTTAGCATGCTTACATGCAAAACTAAGACCTTAACTACAGTAAACATTACCCTTTTACCATAGTTACCATTACAACAGCATGTTGAAATCCTAATTGTGAGCATGTTAGCATTTAACTTACCATGAGTACTAATTCTTTATAAAAATACCAGCAAGCACCAAGTCAGCAGCCGTGATGCTTTCAACCCAACATGCTTGTTTGGCTGCAGCATTTGTCACTTGTCTTGTTTACAGCAGTATTCTACACTCATTGGTCACGTCTGCCTGTGACAGGGTGTTACAGGTTACCACAACAACCACCTGCAGAGCCAGCAGAAAGACAGGTGAATCCAAAGCACACAAGATGAGACAACAAGGGTCATCACACATGTCCAGGAGAGTAAAGAGACCCTGCTAACACGCAGCAGGACCGTGAGGCAGCTGCGGTTTCTCCTTTTATACAGCGACTCTGTCTGAGTGACTCTAAACTGCTGCTGCCTCACAGATTGAGGCGAAACTGATGGATGTTTCAAATTCATTTCCTTCTTATGTAACCTCCATTTTGCATGTAGGATTACAGTGTAAGTAGAAAATGAAGCAGCAGGTAATTTAAATTCAATTTGAATTTTTTAGTTAATGAAATTTCAAGCTGAAAATGTGTTTCTTTCTTTGAACGTCCACAGGAGACAGTAAAGGTATGGTTTCATTACAGTAGGATTCAATTTGTTAATTTAAATTTTAAATTTTCAGTGCTTATTCCTTTTAAAATAAATCTAAAATGAAGAATGAGAAATATTATGAAAAGTCTTAAATTACTACTAAAACCCCAATCGTGTGAAAGAAAGAGCTTATTTTCATTAAGTAAGGTTAAGGGGGCGCTGTTAGAGGAGTAACACACATTTCCCAACAAATTAATACTTTAAATATACAAAAACAAGTCTATTCCCAACTTCAAACTACTCTTGAAACACACTTAACTTTAAAACTAAATACACACGATTCAGAGAGGGAAACTTCAACGTGAGGAACCCGAAAATCTAGAAAGAACGAGGCTCAGACCAAGCACTGCGCTCTCCTGAACAAGAGGAGGAGGATCCGCCCAACAGAGCAGAGCTAACTGCCCCTGCTAGCTGTGGAACGGAACATCTGTGCCACCATCGACCACCGCATCCAAGATGTGTACACGGACTAAAGAGAAGATGCACAGCTCATTTATATGTTGATTTTTCTTGTTATTTACATCCTTTGTATTTTTAAGCTTTTATTTAAAGTCAAATAATCAAAATGTCTGTTGATTGATCGGTTCTGTATGATGCCAGTGAAGGCTGAGGCTGAATTAATCCATCTTAACCACTTTAATGCAGCGACAGCAGACACATCACAGCTAGCAGTGAAAGCCTCTGTTTGTGGGTTCAAAAGGGAAGACGGTGTAACAGTACACAGAGAGTCTGGAGGTAAATACATTTTCATCGATTGGGAATAATCACATGCTGATTGCTTTTGACGCCACTTCACACCAGCTGTGGAGACAATATGATGCCACAGACATGAAGGTAAACTGAAGGTGCACGGAGACAAACTCAGACACGAGAGAGTTGCGACTCTGACACCAGATGCTTCATTGTGCGTTTGTTGATGGCGGGGGAGTTCATAGAGGGACGTCATTCTCAAGCTCAGAAAAAAATCTTAATCCACACTGTCTGTCAGCTGTCACCTCATGAACAAAACATTCAGCTAGCACAGCGGTAGGCAACCTGCGGCTCTTTATACCCTCTCTGGTGGCTCCCTGTGGTTTGACAGAAAATGATTTGGAAATGAATAACATTTATTTTTTAACATTTTTATGTATTGTTGTTGAAGGTCTAAAAGAGTTTCTTATATTTCCCAACTGCAAAAATTAGGGATGAGCCGATTATTCAGAATGTGTGACACTTTCCACAGTTCAAATCCCTTATTTGTGCAATCCTCTCTTAAAGTCCAGGTGGAATGGTAATCAGAGAGCTAATTGGTTCCACACATTCACGTAATTCCTGTCCGTCTCGGAGGTTGTGTTCACTGGGGGGCTGCTGAGCCTCGCTTGCCATGCTGTTAGCTAGCTAGTTAACTAATAAATCTTCGCTCTGTGTCGCTAAAAGTTAAAAGATTGATTGACGGGTGAATGTCGTGATATTATTGAAATCAGTTAGTTCATGCTGACGTAAACACGTGTCGCATTTAGTTTTACAGGAAGACACA